GGTTGAAACACGCCCGACGGCTTGCACTCCCCTGTTGGGTGGTCCGAGTACAGGAGCCTGCGTACGACCTCGCGCGAGCTATCCCTCGGCGAGTGGGGTCCACCACGGGATGGATCTCTCCGTGCGCAGCTCACTCCCAACGACCAAGTGCTGGTACCAACGCGCACGCATTCAGGCGTAGCACTACGTATGCGAACTCTTTGTAAGGAAGACAACGCGGAACACGTTGATATATATATACATGTAAATCGCGCGTCCTCACCAAAGGCGAGCGGACGCATGACATTTGGTGCTTTGCTAGCGGACGACACCAAATGCCATGTGCTCTAACGCGTTTGAGAGTAAGGATTCCACAATAGTACATTATCATTACAGCCGCGGCGTTGGTAAAAGCACGTCGTCGTCGCTAAGGCTATGGCGCGCCGAGTCCCAGAGGAAAAACGACTGCGGTGGCGGGTCCGACGAGACACCCATCATACCGATCTTGAGGTCGTCCGAATTCTGCCGCCGCGCCGGCCGTTGCACGAGCACTTTGCCGCACACGGTGAGTTGGTAGCCGCGGTAAAACCTATCTTTCGAGTCCGTGCGCACAAAGAGCATCGAAAAGAGCCCGGCCAGCGAGCAGTACCAGACAAGACCCAGCCGGCTCGTCAAGTCGGGTAGCTTATTGAGCGGCGCCAGCCCCAGGAGCACGCGGTCGAGAACCCAGCTGGTCGAAAGGAGGCCATACATGGTGCCGACATGGTACACGCCGTACATGTCGGCCAGAAAGCACACGATGAGGGCCGCGCCGCCGCTCGCGCACAGCTGGACGGTGTAGAGGAGGCCTTCAATGTACGCAATCTTGGCGAGGTTGGCGCTGTGGAAATAGACCGTCGGCAGTGCCACGCACGGCACCACGAGCAAAAAAACGAGCACGAATTTGCGGACGACGGCGGGGTTGGCATACAAGAGGCGGATGCACGCGTCCGAGAGCATCGGGATGAGCATGCGGCTGCCGAGATCGACGAGGAGGCCGTAGAATCGGATGGACGCAGCCTTTGCGGGCGACACGCGGCACCACTCGACGAGGAGATCGTGGTCGACGCGCAGCGCAAGCATGTCGTTGTAGACGAGGCCGACGAGGGCGTTGGCTGCGAACGCAATGTAGAGACAGACAAAGTCGGTCGAGAGGATGCACTGGGGCAAGGTAAGTGCGCGCACTTGCTCGTGGTACTGTCGGTCGGTGCCTTCGATGCCGCCAACCACGCTGTAGTTGACGAGCGTCATACCGACGCGTAAAAACTCGTCGTGGACCATGTCGGCGTTCGGCGCCGTCTCGAGCGGAATGCAGTGCATGTCGTGGCCGCGGACGCTAAAGTCCGACGGCGGCGTCCGCAGCACCAGCGTCGCGATCGCGAGAAGCGGGAGCGCGACAGCCAACGAGAGGCCAAACGTCCAGCGAAGCGTGTTGTGGTAGTTGTTGAGGAGCGCGTGCAAGAGCGACCGCGCTAGCCCCGTGCCGAGGCCGTACCCAAAGATGCAGCAGCCCGTGACGGTGCCCCGGAGATCGGGGCACCACTTGAGCGCGGTCGCCACGGAAGATATCGTCATGGCCCCAAACGCGATCGCGAGGAGGTAACATCTATAGACACACTTCGCCATCATGTGCAAGACAAAACCAAGACATACCCGGCGTGCAGAAGCGCCCACGTTCGTGTCCAAACTGCCGTCTGCGCGAGGACGAGCCCGAGTGCGAGCAAGCCAATGCTGACCGTCATGCTGCGTCGGGGTCCCTGACGTTCAAGAAGTGGACCAAAGAGAGCTTGAGACGCGATGCTGCACGCGCCGGCAGCAAACAGCATCGTTGTCGCTTCGTTGCCATTGGCGTCAAAGCCAAAGTAGACGTTCATTGGGTTGGCCATGACAAAGATAGCGTAGATCGAGCCGCAAAAGAACTGAATGAGAAAGACCGCGATGAAGAGGTAGATTCGATGGAAGCGAAGGCACTGGAAGGCCGGGTACCGCGCAACGCGGCTCGAGAGCGGCCAGAAGAAAACAAATTTTTCCGCGTCGACCTCGTAAAAGGACTTTGTCCGCAGCGCGATCGTCCAGTAGTCGGCGCAACCCATGCTTTTGGATAATGACGGGTATAGACGAGGATCAAAGATACCAGATCCCCACCCAAGCCTGTATGGGGCAGACGTCTCTTCTGAGCCTGCGACGCCAGCCGGGTGCAACATCTGATTTATGTACCTCAGAAACTCGATACAATGTGCGGCCACGGCTACACAAGCCTCTTCCACATGGCTTGGGACTAGTTGGTCGCTCAAGTAGCTCGTTGGAGTCATCGCCGTTCCACTGAAGATAATAAAATATGGACTTCCTCATATCATACGATATGAATTGAAATCTTTGTAGAGACTTACGACATCGCAGATATGGGATTTCTTACGGCGCTCGCGAGGTGCTGCCGGTGCCAGCGTCGATACCGGACTCGTGTTTCGTCTTGAATCTCGAGTGCCACGGCTTCGAGCTGCGCAACCCCCGACACTTAATACATTGGCCTACACCGTAGCAGGCAGTAATCCCGACCCGATTGACGACGACGCCAACCCCGGACGGCCTAAAAAATGCGCGCAACGATGAAGTTCACCCCGTGGCCGGCTCGGATTCTTTTGCGTACGTTCGAAACAAGGGAATTGCTTCATTCGCTTTGATCGAAATGACGTGGAGACGTGATTGCAACGAAGGCGCGATGACGTGACGCACGTGAGGAACATGCACTGTGTTCGTCTCTTTTCTGGCACCAATCTGGTTCAAAATACATCGCGACTGTGCATGGCCGAGCCAAGCACCGTCCTTTGGCATTCTTCAAGTTTGCTGCGCCGTCAGGTTAGGAATAGGATATGCCGTGCATCGTTCTACTGTTTCCACTCGAATGTGTCATGTCAGCGATACATGTAGTGTGCCTGGGCAATTCTATCTTGCTGTCAACCCAATCTGCTGCTGTTGCTCGCAATTCTAGGGAGTATAGCGGTCGAAAAATGTGGTGACAGACATGTTCCAGTATGCTCGTCGGGTCGGCGCGACGTCACAACGAGTCGTTCTGCGTGACGACGAGCGGTCGTTCTCAACGACCGCTCTTCCATGGCGTTGAAGCTTACAAACGACATCGACCAAAGACATGCGCATAAAACGATTTCAATCGTACCACGGATTGCTGGGCAAAGCACGAATCTCGATATTTTTTAGTATCTTTTGTTTGCGTGCGTACGGTCGCACGAGCTGGCGGGCGCGTATTACGTCGTCGCGATGCACGCCGACGGGGGTCATCAGCTTCGACCAACCACTACATACGCACAACACGGAAAGGCCGACATCGCGTCTCGATTGTCTACTTATCCGGCGCATCACTAACAGCTCGCTGCTCGAAGCGTCCCTTCGACGCAAAGTTTCAAGGTGACCGAAGCGATCTCACCACCTTCTTTTCGGTACTCAAAAGATTTATCGGGCAATGGTGTTCCTGGTCGTCATGTGTGAACGCGGATTAGAGGCACCAGCTCGATGGCGTCCTTGCTCGGTGCAGCACATACGGGTAGCTCGTCGTCACGGCGGGTCCGGGGCCGATCACCTGTTGCATAGCAAGCGGTGCCTCGCGCAGAATATGAACGACAAATTCAGACTGCACGTCGCTTGGATGAATCACCATGTCGTTGTCGTCGTTTCGCATGTCGAGATCACAGAGCAAGCTCACGCGCAACTGCTCTTGGGGCTGACCGTCGCAGTAGCACGTCACAAAGCAGTCGGTCGCACGCGTACTGATGGTCGGCGTACGTCGAAGGCGCGGATGCTTGTCCATGACAGCATGCACCGTGCCGCCAATGGCCTTGTCGCGCGGCTGGCGACGTTGGAAAATGCTCAGAAGAATTCGGTTCTTGATATGGTTGTAGCGGAAGCTAGCGTAGTCGCGCGGCGCGTGGACGCTCTTGAAACACTGTGGTGCGACTCGACGTAGCACGGGTGTCACCAAGCCATAAAGAAGCGGAAGGCTCGCAATGCTTCCGACATATACGATGCAAGCCAGCGTTGCCTCGATGGCTTCGTTGAGGGCGACGCGGGGGATGCCAAACGTGAGCGTCCATTGGTAGAATCGCGTGAACGACGGAAGGTGCGCACTCGTCCATGTCAAAAGTGGACCATAAACCATGACTGCAAGCGAGAGCAGTGTCGGATCAATGGTTACAAAAAGATGCTCCTTGTGCCAGCGCTTGAGACCGTGCGAGGCAACGCAGAGGCCCCAAAAGGCAAACCAGATCTATCAACATCCATAAGTGGGAAACGTGAGGTCAGTGTACCGTTCGCGAGAGGTACCAAATGCTTCGCACGAGATGCTGGGTGCTGCCCGACTGCCCGACTTGCAAGATTGCAACCGATAGGTTGGTCACGCTGAGCCAAATATCGAAAAAATACAAGGTAGCCACCCACGGGTCCATGAGAACGATCGCAGTGGGATCGCCAAGCACGAGTTCATACGACCACGAGGCAGGATACGGCAGCATCTCGCGATGCCCTCGCACCCGTAAGCAGCGCTCGAGGTCAATGACGTGCTTGTAGTACTGCGTCCAGAGCCGATACCAGACAAAGAGTGTCACGAGGATCCGGTAGCCAAATTTGAGCCAAACCCACACTGCAAACCGAGATTCGTTGTATACAAAGTAGACAGTCATGGCCGACGCATCGACGCTGCCGCTGTTGATTGCATCGCCAGAGACGAGCCAGACGCACGAGTGGCCCAACGAGAAGGACAGAAACTGCGATTGAAAGCACGAGCCTTGGGTTGCCCAGTCAACGGCGCTGGCATTCGGTGCCGTCACCGCGTTGCAAAGCATATCAATGATACGATCCGAGTAAAAGATGAGACCTGGAAGCCCTGGTAGAAGAGAGCTCGAGCACGTGGAGACTAGCATCGGAGGCTGCCCCAGAGGCAGTAGCGCGCGGCCGACTTGAGCGTTCTTGGCATTATCGACATGGTACAAGTTGCCGTCGGGCAGTGTCGCGTTCGTATACAAGGCGCGCTTGAGCGCAAGTTCAGAATTCGAAAAGGCGCTGTAGTTGGCATACTCAGTGGGGGGTGACAACGTGCCTGCCCACGGAAAGTGCTCGGACACGTACGCCGTGAGCGGCTACAGAACGTTAGGATCCCATCGCAGCCCGACGGCAGAATACCATCGTAGACACCTTGAGCATGGAAGCGACGCTAAGGCACCATGCGACACGATTTCGGCGGACGCGGCGTCGTGCCGGGGTACTCGTGTCGGCCACCTTGGTCGGACGTCGCATGGCGATTCGGCTAATTTTAACGACTTAACGAGCCGAACACACAGGTGTAACTCCTTGTGACGCCATCAGTACACCGCTATCTAGACCAGAGGTGTACCGGCCGTTGTAGCCAGGCCACACCGACCGAGGTAGAAGCTGCAAGCACATTTTCATGGTGCGCTTCACGTCACCGTAGGTCGATACTCGGGATGGTTTCTCACCACTTTGCATCGAGCTTGTAAAAGCATCGTGTCAATCATTGAATGGTGGATGAGCTTCACATGGATCAGCAACCATAAACATCCATTTCAACCTGCTGTTATTCGCACCGACTCAAACTCAGAGGTCATATGAAGGGTTGCGAGAGCTGGAGCAGCCATCTTTAACGCTCAAAATCCCATCAATTGTTTAGAAAACGGTGTGCGCTGCTAGCTACCGCATGAGACAGAGCGAGAACGTTTTGGGTTGTTGTTGTTGTTGAAGTGGGTCGTCTATTACAATAGATAAAACTATGCTAAATAAAATTGTCGGACTTTCTTCGTTGTGTGTACTCGGTTGAGGGACTTGATTTAGGCAGGCGGAGGCAGGAGCGCGATCCGCGGGACGAGGTGACGTCGC